AAAATATTCGCTGCTGTATTAGTGGAGAAAAATGGTACAGCTGAGTGTAAGGCGATTAAGGGAAAAGAATGCAACACTGTTATAGTAATTAGCCATTAGCAAATGTTGTAGTTCATTATTAATAATTATATGTAACAGGCTATTGTGAAAAATAAGGTACGACATTTTTAAAAAATATATATATATATTTTATTGATTTTGTACAGAGAGGAAGGGAGAGAGATAGAGAGAAACATCGATGAGAGAGAGTCATCGATCAGCTGCCTCTTGCACACCCCCTACTGGGGATATGCCCGCAACCAAGGTACATGCCCTTGACCGGAATCGAACCCGGGACCCTTCAGTCCCCAAGCCGACGCTCTATCCATTGAGCCAGACTGGTTTCGGCAAGGTACGACATTTTTTTAAAAATGTTTCTTACATACTGTTATATTGGCTGGGCCCCAAAAATATTCATTGTGGGCTGCATGCCGCCTGTGAGTTTGACATGCTTGATTTAAAGCATTTGCCACAGTGCTTTATAATACAACTAGTGGCTCAGTGCACGAATTTGTGCACATTGAAAGGAAATTAATTAGAAGAAATATTTTAATATCACTATCCGCCCTTTCTCTATAATAGAAGTGTTAACCAAATTCATGATCAACAATGACAGATGGAAAAATACCTGTGGGATAGGCACCAGTGAGAGCTTTATATGTATTGCGCATGCACAAGTCAACTTAGCCTTTCACAGATATAGAATAAAGTTGCTTAATTAGACAGGCTTTCTGATTTTGCTAAACTTTTTCCAGCCCAGTGAAGCATCCCAACTTCTCTTTCAGGTAATTATGAGCAACACAGCAGTAAATATCAACATTAAGCAGATTATTATTGTAGATGATGCAGGGAAAACAGAGGTTAAAATATTTAACTGCAACAGTGTTTAACTATATTCTGCACAGTGAGAAAACCTGAAGTCATTTTCAAGGTCCACCATTTCTTACTTCTTTTCAAGTTTCTAAGCTTTCTAAATCTCTGTTTTCCAGCTAATGAAAAGAAAATACGATTCCACCGAGTCTCCATTCACATAATCCAGTGTAACCCTTTATAAGTTACTTATCTAAACCTCAGTTTCATTATTCTAATATATAAAAATCTGGGGGCCATTACAACCAAAACAACCAGACAGATAACTGAAAACAGGCTGCAGGGGGTGACAAGGCCATCAGGGGGGTTAGTGAGGGACAACCAAATGACTCAACAGCAGACTGCGTGGGACAACCAGGCTGGCAGGAGGGGGTAGTGAGGGATGACCAAATGACTGAACAGCAGGCTGCATGGGGCAATCAGGCTGGCAAGGGAGAGGCAGTTGGAGGCAACCGGGGGAACAGTTGGAAGTGACTAGGCTGGTGGAGGTGAGGGGTGTGAGGAAAGGGGGAGTGGAGTTGTTGGGAGTGACCAGGCTGGCAGGGAGGCAATGAGGGGTTACCAGGCCAGCAAGGGGGGGCACAAATTTCGTGCATCAGGCCTCTAATTTGTATATAAATGAGATAATAATAGCTTTCTTATATGTTTTTTTGAGAAATTTTAAGGAAAACATATAAAGTAACTGGCATATGGCAAACAATCAAAAAATGATATTGTCATATTTTCATTCTACAGTACTTTATAGTTGTAGACAAATTATATTTCCTACTGTAAGATTTTATAAATCCTATATAGAAATGTATTTTACCTCTTTCTTTTAAAAAATGTATTTATCGAGTTTAAGACAGAAAGAGAAAGAAAGAGAAAAACAAAATTGATTTGCTGTTCCTCTTATTTATGCATTTACTAGTTGCTTCTTGTATGTGCTCTGACCAGGGATTGAATCCACAACCTTGGCTTATCAGGAAGACACTCAAACTAACTGAGCTACCTGGCCAGGACCTAAAGGTATTATATCTCTTCAACTTAAACCTTAAACAGAAGTAAGAAATACAAATAGACTCCAGATGAACATCACAAAGATCATACACCATGACCAAGTAGGATTTATTCCAGGAATGCAAGGATGGTACAATATCCGCAAATCAATAAACGTGATACATCACATAAACAAACTGAAAGATAAAAATCATATAGTCATATCAATTGATGCAGAAAAAGCATTTGATAAAATCCAACACCCTTTCCTGATAAAAACTCTTAACAAGGTGGGAGTACAAGGATCATACCTCAACATAATAAAAGCTATATATGATAAACCCACAGCCAACATTATACTCAATGGGCAAAAACTAAAACCATTCCCTCTAAGAACAGGAACAAGACAGGGATGCCCACTCTCGCCACTCCTGTTTGACATAGTACTGGAAGTACTAGCCATTGCAATTAGACAAGAGGAGGAAATAAAAGGCATCCAAATTGGAAAAGAAGTAGTAAAGTTATCCTTATTTGCAGATGATATGATATTATACATAAAAAACCCAAAAGACTCCATTAAAAAACTAATTGACTTAATAAATGAATTTGGCAATGTAGCAGGATACAAAATTAATGCCAAGAAATCCACGGCATTTCTATACACCAACAGCGAAACTATAGAAACAGAGATTAAAAAAGCAATTCCATTTACCATCGCACCAAAAAAATTAAGATACCTAGGAATAAATTTAACTAAGGAAGTAAAGGACCTATATGCAGAAAACTACATGACACTGAAAAAAGAGATAGAGGAAGATGTAAAGAGATGGAAGAATATACCATGTTCATGGATCGGTAGAATCAACATCATCAAAATGTCCATACTTCCTAAAGCAATCTATAGGTTCAATGCACTCCCCATTAAAATACCAACGGCATATTTCACCGACCTAGAAAGAACTCTCCAAAAGTTCATTTGGAACAATAAAAGACCCCGAATAGCCACAGCAATCCTGAGAAAGAAGGGTAAAGTAGGAGGGATCTCAATACCAGACTTCAAACTGTATTACAAAGCCACTGTTCTCAAAACAGCCTGGTACTGGCACAAGAACAGACATATAGATCAATGGAATAGAATCGAGAACCCAGATATCAACCCAAATCACTATGCTCAATTAATATTTGACAAAGGAGGCACGAATATACAATGGAGTCAAGACAGTTTCTTCAATAAATGGTGTTGGGAAAATTGGGCAGACACATGCAAAAGAATGAAACTAGATCACCAACTTACACCATACACAAAAATAAACTCAAAATGGATACAGGACTTAAACATCAGACGGGAAACCATAAAAATACTAGAAGCATCCACGGGCAGCAAAATCTCAGACGTATGCCAAAAGAACTTCTTCACTGATACTGCCCCTAGGGCAATGGAAGCTAAAGAGAAAATAAACAAATGGGACTACATCAAAATAAAAAGTTTTTTTACAGCAAAAGAAACCATCAACAAAACAACAAGAAAGCCCACGGTATGGGAGAATATATTTGCAAATAATACCACGGATAAAGGTTTAATCTCCAACATCTACAGACAGCTGATACAACTAAATAAAAGGAAGATGAATGATCCAATTAAAAAATGGGCAATGGACCTAAATAGAATATTTACAAAAGAAGACAGAAAGAAGGCCAAAAGGCACATGAAAACATGCTCAAAGTCACTAATTATCCGAGAGATGCAAATCAAAACAACAATGCGGTACCATCTCACACCCGTCAGAATGGCCAACATCAACAAATCAACAAACGACAAGTGTTGGCGAGGTTGCGGAGAAAAAGGAACCCTCGTGCACTGCTGGTGGGAATGCAGACTGGTGCAACCACTGTGGAGAACAGTGTGGAGTTTCCTCAAAAAACTGAGAATGGAACTCCCATTTGACCCAGTAATCCCACTTCTAGGAATATATCCCAAGAAACTAGAAACACCAATCAGAAAGGATATATGCACCCCTATGTTCATAGCAGCACAATCTACAATAGCCAGAATCTGGAAACAGCCTAGGTGCCCGTCAGCTGATGATTGGATCAAAAAACTTTGGTACATCTACACAATGGAATACTATGCTGCCATAAAAAAGAAGGAATTCTCATCATTTGCAGCAACCTGGATGGAATTGGAGAACATCATGCTGAGTGAAATAAGCCAATCAATGAAAGAGAAACACCACATGACCCCACTCATTTGTGGATAATAAAGATCATTATAAACTGATGAACCAAAAGATAGATATAGAGACAGTAAAGCAACAAGCAGATTGTCAAATTACAACGGGGAGTGGAGGAGGGTCTGGGGGAGACAATAAATCAACCCAAGGACTTGTATACATGCATATAAGTACAACCAATGGACATAAAACTCTGGGGAGGGAGGGGATACGTGGGAGGGAAGGAGGGGGGCAAAAAAAAATCAATAAAATATGTAAAAAAAAAAAAAGAAAAAAAAAAAAGAAAAAAAAAAAAAAAAAAAAAAAAAAAGAAGTAAGAAATATATATAACCAGAATCTCACAGATGAGACTTAACAATTTATTTTTAGAATTTGTTTTTTAAGACAGAAGTACTGTGATTTCACATTGGCTATGATTTCCCATTTCAAAGGTTAAAAGCAGAAACAGTTTTTCTATAATAATATTTATTGATCCTTCCACTGCCATATAAAGATGTAAGGTATATTTCTTATTGATTCTCCCACTGCCAAAAAAATATGTAAGGTACATTTTTTATATCAGCAGACTTCTAAATGAATATTTTGGAAGTTAGAGAAGTTATTTTGCTTTGAGTATGGCTTCTCAAAGAAAAAAAAGGAGGAGGAGGAGGAGAAGGGGAGGAGGAAGCAATTTTCCCAGATTAAAAAAGAAAAATGCTTATTCCAAATTTCAGAAAAGTGGCAGGGCAAGCAAAAATAAATAAAATTGTTTTTCTAGAATCAGGCTCATCTGGTCTTTGCTGTATTTCTAAGAAAATAATTAAATGACCACAGTAGCACTTCAAAACCCAGTGCCATTTAACAGCACACATTTTTGTTTTCTCTGATTATATTATTTTTTACCATGAAAGGCCATGGTCTGAAGCAGTCGATCAGCCACTTCCTGTGGGAATACTCCAGGTTCTTGCAAACACAATGTTCCATCTTGTCTTGCTGAACAGAACTTCTCAAGATGTGTAGTCAGGAAATTCAAGCAGATATCGAGTAAGGAATAGGGAGATGCCTCCTCCTTGGAGCCCAGGAAGAAACATAAAGGAAACACAAAAGCCAACAAGTTAGTTTCCAGAAAAGTAGAGAACAAAACATTCATTTCTACCTTCAACAAGTATTTTTACTCAGTGTGATACTGTTGTAACTATTTATTTATTGTAATTCGTTATTTATTAATAACAGGAAAGAAGCCAAGGGAGAAGCCAGACATCATAGGCATGTCATTTGGGCATCTTCATCGGGAAGCTGCAAAATCACACTCCCCAGGGAACCACCCACCCAATTCCTGCAGATTGCTGGGGGAAGGGACTGGACGAAGGAGAGGATGGACTCATGCACAGTGAAGTTAAGAAGGTACTTGCTGTCAGTCAAACTTGAGAACAGAAATCATTGGCTAAAAGGGATGGCCAACGCAAGCCTGTGATTATTTGGTGATATATAATGCCCCAAACAAAGGGATTTCTCTCTCTTGGCTCTTAGAGCTTTTGGGTTAGAGCTCTCTTGGCTCTCTGGTTCCTTTGGCTTTGCTCCTGCCCATGTTTCCTCCATAACCATGTGGCCTGTGGACCCACACACAAAGGACTAATAGACTGCAGCAGGGAACACAATCTAAGCTAACTTGATGCTGGTCTGGACACTGCTCCAATATAGAGTGAAAATTCTGGACACTAGCTTTGCTGAAGCTATGGCTATACTTCATCCTTGGGGGAAGAAGGGATATGGGACCTTAGAAACTCAGGGGTTTGATTCCACAGAAATAAAACTTTCTACAACCTTCCATCTTCCCATAGAGATTGGACAAAAATCTTACACCTATAGATGAAGACAGTGGTGGGGGTAAGGGTGTGGGTGGGGTTGGGAATCAGGTGGAGGGGAGCTAAGGGGATGGAGGGGAATAATCTGAACAATAAAGATTTATAAAAAATAAAAATAAAATGAAATATCCCATCTTCCCATGTGAGTCTCAGAAAATTCCTTTCCTCTGGATATTGCAAGAAGTCCATTCCCAAGAGCAACCGGTGGGGATGGGAAACTCTCTCCACCAATAACAAGTGCACCATATGCTAGATACTTTGTTAGACAATACAACATGTGACCATGTTCTCGAAAAGTAGGAGAGAGAAACATTTAAACAAATATTTAAATAAAGCATATTAAATACTATAATAGAGGGCATATTGGGTAGTGTGTAAGCACAAAGCAGGGAGCCCCAATAAGTCAAGGATGGTCAGGAACGACCTCAGAACAAAGATTAATCTTCCTAAATTATTATCAGGATCCCTTCTCTGCTCAAACCTTCAATGGCCTCCCATCGGCCTGAAGAAAAAAATAACCTGAGATTGTTAGACTGATGCTTGAGGTCTAAAATCTAGCTTCCATGGACACAGACAAAAGGGTGGTAAAAGTCCTGGTTCTAGGGGGGAGGAGAGGGCTGGAGGAGGTCAATGGGGGCAAAAAGGAGACATATGTAATACTTTCAATAATTAATATTTAAAAAATAAAACCTAGCCTCAATTTAATTTCCAACTTGATTTCCCACAAAATCCCAACCCCAATCTACACTGAGTAGCCAGATTATTATGATCTCTGAATGCATAATAATCTGATTATATATATATATATATATATATATATATATATATATATATATATCTCCAAATAAAAGGGTAATATGCAAATTAACCATCTCCCCCACTACACCCATCAGCCACGCCCAGCAGCCAATCAGAGCAGGTATGCAAATTAACCCCAACCAAGATGGCTGCTGCCACAGAGAGTATGAGGGAGGCTTGGCTTTCCCAGGCAATGGAGGAAGCCAAGCTTTCCACATGCCCAGGCCTCCATGCCAGGCTACAAAGTTTCAATTGTAGAAAATAAATATATCCCAGATATCTGGGCTTCCGCTTGGGTTGCTGTGGGATGTGGCCGGCCTGCAAACTACTACAGGCCCCTTGCCCAGGCCTCCCCACACCCCAAGGGAACCCCCACCCTGATCCAAGACACCCTTCAAGGCAAAACAACTGGCCCCCACCCATGCACGAGGCCTCTATCCTATCTAATAAAAGAGTAATATGCAGACTGACCGTCATTCCAACACACAAGATCAGGATAGCTGCCCCCATGTGGTCGAAGATCCTGCCCCCATGTGGACACAAGATGTGACCATGTTGTGTCACAAGATGACCAGCAGGGGAGGGCAGTTGAGAGGGACCAGGCCTGCAAGGGAGGGCAGTTGGGGTAATCAACCCTATAGGGGGAGGCAGTTAGGGGTGACCAGGCCAGCAGAGGAGGGAAGTTGGAGGCAAACAGGCTGGCAGGGAAGCAGTTAGACATCAATCAAGCCGGCAGAGCAGTGGTTAGGGGGTGATCAGGCTGGCAGGAAGAAGTGGTTAGGGGCAATCAGGAAGGCAGGCAGGCGAGCAGTTGGGAACCAGAGTCCTAGATTGCGAGAGGGGTGTCTGACTGCCTTTGTTCTATAAAGCAATTTGCATATTACTCTTTTATTAGATGGGACTATAGTAGCTACCATCCATTAGGTACCTTAAATATGACTGTATTGAGTGTTTTACATGCATTACCTATTATTTAATTAATAATAATTAATATTATTTAATTAAAGAAATTAAGCAAACACTGTCTGAAATAAAGAATATACAGAAACTCAACTGTAGATCAGTGTACCCCAAGAGTCAAACCAAAGATCTGGAATATGAGAAAACAAAAAACACTCAACCAGAGTCAAATTCAGGAAGATAAGGCATAAATTTTCAAAGTTATCATCAATGAAGTGAAAAGAAAAGCTAAAGAATGGGAGAAAATATTTGCAAATCATATATCTAATAAGGGATTTATATCTAGAATCTAATATAATAAAAGCCTAATAAGCTGTCATGTCACCCAGTCAGCCTTTCAATCAATCAAGGTGTAATATGCTAATGATATGCTAAGGCTGCTCAATTGCTCACTATGATGTGCACTGACCACCAGGGGCAGACACTCCGACCAGTAAGTAGGTTAACTGCTGGGGTCTGGCTGATCGGGATTGAAAGAGATCGGCCAGACATACCCTGGAGACCTTTTGCAGTCCCTCCCCAGCTGGCCAACCTCCTATGTCCCTCCCGGACCCTAATCATACACCAGTGTGGTCCCTCAGCCTGGCCTGCACCCTCTTGCAATTCGGGACCACTCAGGGGATGTCAAAAAGCTGGTTTTGGCTCAATGGTGGAACAACTGGTAGCTATGATGTGCACTGACCACCAGTGGGCAGACATTCAATGCAGGAGCTGCCCCCTGGTGGTAAGTGTGCTCCCACAGGGGGAGTGCAGCTCAGCCAGACACCAGGCTCATGGCTGGTAAGTGCAGTGGCATTGGTGGGAGCCTCTCTTGCTTCCGTGGCTGCTAAGGATTTTCGACTGCCGGCTAAGCCCACAGTCGGACATCCCGCAAGGGCTCCTGGACTGCGAGAGGGTGCAGGCTGTGCTGAGGGACTTCCCTGAGTCACAAATTTTGTGCACTGGGCCCCTAGTATAGTATAAAGAACTCTTACAACTCAAGAATAAAAAGACAATTAAAAATAGGCAAAGGTCTGAAAAGATATTGCTGAAAACAACAACAAATGACCAATAATCTGAGGAAAGATGCTCGATTCCATTAATCATCAGGGAAATGCAAATCAAAATCACAATCAAATAGCATTCCACACCTATGAGCATGGCTATAATATAAAGTCAGCCCTTGCTGATTGGGTCAATTGGTTGGCTGTCATCTCATGCACTAGGATGTCACTAGTTCGATTCCTGGTCAAGGCACATACAAAAATCAACCAAATGAATAAGTAGAAAAACAAATATATTAATACTGTAGAGAGCACCTGGGAAGGCACATGAGCATTTCTTTAATTATTGTCAGCTGAATCCAGTGGCACTGGCAGAGCCACATTCTGGAAACACACCTTGCCAGGGACAGATGTATTGTCAGCCTGACCTTGAGCTCAGGCCAGGGGGTAGGTTTTGTTATCTAAATCCAGTCAAGCACCAGGAACAAACATGATTATCTGGGCCCATCCAGTATTGATGATTACAAAGCCTCAGGGATGCACATAATCTCCTTTGTTTTAGGCTTTAGTAAAACTTCCTGTTTTTTTTTGCTGTATAAAATAAAAGGGCTGTTTCGGCTATGGGGCTCTGTCTCTTCATCAGAGGACGGTGGTCTCACCCAGTCCCAGCTTTCCCTACTGTATTTATGTCTGTATCTTTCATTTTTTCAATCCCCCATCACCCCTGCTCAGAAATCAAACCACTCTCTATCTGCGCTGGACACGGAAGAGAGAGAAATATTTATAATAGATCTCTCTCTCTCTCATCAATGCAAAAAGAAATTCCAAGCCCTAGTCTATAAGCCTCGGTTGGCTGGAGCATTGTCCCATTCACCAAAAGATGGTGGGTTCGCTTCCCCGTCAGGGTACATACTGAGGTTGTGGGTTCAATCCGTGGTCTGGCACGTGCAGGAGGCAACCAATGGAAGTTTCTCTTACATCAATGTTTTAAAAAAAATTGTTTAAAATCAGTTTTTTTTAAAAAACCACTCTTCTTTGGAGGAGAAATTAGTTAAAAAACCAAACCAAACCACATACTGCAAGATTTATTTAAAGTAATAGTTAACCAGAGGGAGGAAAAAGTGGGCGTGTATGTTTGTGTGTGTATATATGAGAGAGAGAGAAAGAGAGAGAGAGAGAGAGAGAGAGAGAGAGAGAGAGAGGGGAAAGAGAGTGAGCGCAATAAAGCACACAGAATAAAATGCTAACATTTGGGGAACTCGGGTGAATGCTACATGAGAATTCTTTGTATCACTTTTGTAACTTTTTATATGTCTAAAATTATTTCTTATAAAGTTAGAAAACAAAATAGTGATTAACACTCCCATGATTTCACAAACAAAACTAGGCAAAGATTACCTCTTCAATGGAATCTATTATGGTCCTAAAGAGTTTGTCTGGCCCAAACTGGTTTGGCTCAGTGG